TATATATAAAGGCAGATTAGCTAAACTTACACGGCTGCCATGACGGGGTCGGGCACCACAATGCCCCGTTTATTGAGAAAAGTGCGTGTGAACGGATCGCAATCATAGATGTGATAGAATCGATCAAAGATCTGCACCGTTGTGTCCACATTGAGATCCGTAATCGCTAGAAATTCGTTATCACATGGCGGCGGCTTTGGCACCCGCTGACGATGCAGCACACATCCCTGCACAATGCCCGAATTTTTGACCTTTGGCTCGTGAATTTCCACAGTGCCATCTTCCAGATAATAATAGAGTTTCACATGTCTAACCATATAGGGGGCATGGAAGTTTTCCTGCAGTGTCTGCTTAAAATAGGCTTTGAAACTAAGCACCTTCTTATCATATGCCAGCCATGGCGGTAGATGTGGTCCCGTTCGTGGGGGATATAAGGCATGAGCATTGGCTGGGGGGCAGCTAATGTCGACTACAACACCGGCGGGATCCACGGGCATCGAGTTCTGCCGATCGCTGAGCATCGGTATACCACGAAAGTTGAGCAACGTTTGTGATTTGGGATAATACACTTTGTTAACCTAACCAAGCAAAGAGCAGAAAACCGTTAATTTGTTCATTTAAAAAGCATCTTTATTGGTTACTCACTTCACGAAAGAGGGTCCCTGGTAGGAGGGGCATGCCTGGTATGCGCAACATCTTGAATAATTTTTATTTTGTATGATTCTGTTTAATAGACTTTTTCACTTGTGTATATATAAAATATATTTATGAAGTAAAATATTTTTGTTTCGTGCGACTGATTGTGTAACACGCCCAATACTGAGCCTTTTCTCACACACATTCGACTAAAACGACTTACAACACGCCTACTATACAAAAGGAAAATATCAACAAAAGCAGTAGCGACGTCACTTTGATTTGAATTTTTTTTCAAATGTTGAACAGCGCGCGCGATTTATTGTGACTGTTGCTAGCCTACTATATATCGATAGCACCTATTATTAAGCCTCAAGCCATATCGATAGCAGCTGCATTACAGCTGTTGACAAATTGTAATCGCAGCGAGCGCATGCTCTGGACACTTTCTCTCTCTTTCACTCACTCTCTACTACTCTCACTCATTCAGTTTCTAAGGCCAGCAGATGTTTTGTTATTCTTATTGTTGCTGTTGTTGCTATAGTTCTTAATAGAAACTGCGGAAGCTTATCAACTACAGCATCATGTTTGTGCAAAACACCAAAATATGTAGCATCATTGCTATGATTTATTATAATTAGTGCTGGGAGCCAAACGTACAATCAGCTTATCATCAAATCAAAAAACCTTCGTTTCGGAGCACAAACGCAATTTGGGCATTTGTGTTCGGTTAGGGTAAATACGTTTCGGTGTGTTTCGTTTACAGCTAGTTTTCTTGTTTTCATACCGTTTAATTCGACCTGCAAAACGGCAAAAACTTTTGCTGTGAGCGGACGAGAATTTGTAGTGCGCGCTTTTGTTTATTTTTTTGTGTTAAACAAATCCAAATATTTCGAAAGCTAAATGAAATTGATATTTTTTTACTGTTATTAAATGCACATTTATAAAGTGTAACTGTTTGGCCCAAAACAAACTATAGAAATTGTTATAAAAATATATAGTGCTTAAAAAACAATATATATTCATATATAAATATATATGCCTGTGCCTTATGTCAAGTAAGTACTATGCACATGTAGCGGAACTATTGCCCAATTATGTACATATGCCTGTTCATCCGAAATTATACATTTTTGCCATTATTTTGAACAGGCTTTAGCTGGTGGGCAATGGGAGAGAGCGAGATGGAGAGATGGCTAGGCAGAGGCGAGGGATTGGCAGAAGAGGCTCTCATCCTGCTCTCGTCTTGTTGTTTGTTCTCTCGTTTTTTGTTATAAATCAATTAGTTGTGCTCAGTTAATAATAGTACATCTATATATATGTATGTTTATATATGCGTTCAGGCCCCTCCCATAGTACAATTAGTTTCAAATTAATGAAAACAAATTATTTGTTTACCGTTAGCCAGGCGTAATAGTCTCAATTTCTTAGTATTCACTCCCAATTAGATTTCCACAGTAAAAACTGTTTAGAATTACGTTCCTTTACCTGTATATGATATCTAGTACTATAAGTATATACATAAATATACATATATACTATTTTATAGCTTTATAAACTGTACTTCATTTAGATTATTTCATATCTGTTTTGTAAGCAGCGTTAGTATTTTGTTTCTTGCTCTTCCACGAATTGACCTTAAGTTTTTATGCCTCGCTAGCTAGCTAGCTTCATTGTAAATCCACTTTTATTGATGATCTATGCTAATGCTTATGCATATCAGCTAAAAAATTCCATCAAAGTAATATAAAAAGCTTTTTTACTATTTGCAATTATGATGAAATCTATGCAGCTATATAGCTGTGCAGCTTATCGTTCAATTCTCTGTCATAGAGGCATACGACTCATCTATAACAAAGTAAATTGTCTATTATCTACCCACTGATTATTCGAATATCTGAGGTATATGGCGTATCCATTCATTTATCTTTAATTGTGTCAGCCATCCATTGTATCAAAGAGTCTTATTTTTTAAGACTATCTCCCGATTATCTTGAGAATATCATAAGTGAATACATCGACTGTTAACTAGAATATTTTCCATCTCGCATTTCAATCTTTATTCATCCATCTATCGTAAAGTATAGCCACTTAGCTGCACGTGCTCATGTAGTAATATTATTTTATTCATCTATCATAGCTATCAATTCAGCTATCTGTCCCACTTGCAATACTCGTTCATCCAATCCTATCCTATCACAAAGTCAAGTCCGATTTACGTCAGACCCAATCGAAATATTTCGATTGTCTCATGTTTTCACTTTTTTAAGATGACCAATCTTTTCTCATTGATAAGAATCAAATTATCGTATCAGCTACTATATGTGTACATACATACATACATGTATGTATATACGTATATATAGGCACGTATTTCAAGCCAATTTGAAGTGGTCATAAATAGCAATCAGTCTTATCGGTGTGCTAAAGCTTTGCTAATTATGATGTGCTCCTAAGATTCGACAGAAACTTTTCAGATAGATCGCATAGGGTATTCAGAAGTTGCTTGAAATCAGAGCTATCCACGTAAACAGGTCTGCAGAGGATTCACTTTTGATGAGGTAATCAGTTGATGGAGCTGTAAAAATGTATAGAACTGGCATAAATTTATTTCTATTTTTATTTCAAATTTGGTACGCACTTGAGAGTTGGCTGCGTGCGTCACAGCACTCAGAGATACCCTATAAGAGAAAGGAAAGAAAATCAATTACGTAGCTCGTCAAAGTCTAATTGCTAAATAAACTTCTACTTTTCATTTCAAGTTGTTCCCTTTATTGTTTGTTTACATGGAACAGTTTTGCGTAAAATATATCAAATTTCCTAAGACAGATATACACATTGAGCAAAGAGTATACTTGAACTGTATATAAGTTAAGTTATGCCTGATATCTGAAACCTATATGCTCTCTAAACTTTTAGGATGTGCATGAAAATAGAAATAGATACAAATAGATGTATAAAATAGGGCATATACACACATATATAAACATATATACAGTATAGTAAAATGCGCACAAAAATTTAAGATAATCAATATGAATTAATATGGAAAATAACTATATATAAATATAAATACATATAATAAGTCTATAGATAATATAAAAATATTGAAATTAAAGTACATATGTATATGCATACATATCTKAGCAGATAGTGCATATACCCCACTCTTAGCTAGGGCCTGCTTCGAGTCAATATTACAAAAAAAAAAAAAAATGTCTGCCAATATGGCAAGACAGACGCGGATCGAGCGAATAGCACACGGCCCACGGCTGCTCAGCAGGCACTTAACGCCTTCATCGGAAACCCTCCGGCGGGGAGGTGGGAGGCAGGAGCCGTGTGCGGGCTTTCAAGTGGGCAGCGGGGAATATGCTGTCTATTCATTAATTGGGGGCCCGTGACGTGGAGACGCGCTTGTTAAACGAGTCGCAGTTCTAGCTAAGCGTAATCTATTTGGGTATTTAGCAGGCGTCGCTGTAAGTGGGCTAGAAACGGTGCGGAAGGGGCCCGGAAATTTTATCTCGTCTTATTACGGTTATCTGGTTGGGCTCTCGAGAGTGTGTTGCCGTTGTCATATATCTCACATTTACAGGCCGCATAAAACCTAAGACAACGTTCCAATCCGCCCCAGACGTGAGTCAACAGAGATTCTGATACAGATACAGATACAGATACGATAGCACTTGAGATGTCATCCACGGGCACCGACAGCACCAAGCTGGGCGATGTGGGCCTGATTGAGGTGCAGCTGGACAGCCTCGACTCGAGTCACAATTTCGCCAATTCGAATGGCGGCACACCCAGGACCAAAACGCTGCCGGAGCAACAGCAGCTCCAGCGCCAGCAGCAAAAGAATGTATTCAAATCCAAAGTGTTCATCATAGCCGTTAGCTTCTCCTCGGTGCTAATGATTGCCATGTGCATTGGCTTTCTGGTCCATTACGAGTTCTCTGGCGATATTAGCGACATGGAAACGGTCTCCTATTGGCATGTGACCCTACCGAAGGAGCAGCAGGAGTGGTACGATCGCGGTATCAACGAGCTAAAGCTCGCACTCAATCGTGAGCTGAATCGACGGCGAGCCAAGAATGTGATACTCTTTGTGGGCGATGGCATGGGTCCGAATACGGTTACAGCGGCGCGAATCTATGGCTACAAAGAGGAGGGCCTGCTCAGCTGGGAGCGCTTCCCGCACATGGGTCTGCTGAAGACCTATTGTGCAAATAAGCAGGTGCCCGACTCCTTCTCCACGGCCACCGCTCTCTTTGGCGGCGTCAAGGTCAACTATGAGACGGGCGGCGTCGATGCCACGGTGCCGCTGGGCAATTGCAGTGCCTCGCTGCAGGAGACGCATCACGTCCAGAACATCCTCAACTGGGCCCAAGCGGATGGCATGCGCACAGGCTTTGTGACGACGACACGTGTCACGCATGCCACGCCCGCTGCTCTGTACGCCCATGTGCCAGATCGTCGCTGGGAATCGGAGTCAACGATGCCAGCGGAGGCGCAGCAACAGGGCTGCTTGGACATCGCACGCCAGCTGGTGAAGCAGAAAACGGGACAGCAGATCAATGTGAGTAGCCGATGGCCTTGGAAGATTCTTATACTTATTATTATTTTCCTTAATTGAAATAGGTTATCATGGGTGGCGGCCGTCAAATGCTTGTCTCGAATGTGAACGGCACAGACAGTGATCCGCTGGACACGTGGGCGGGCCACTCAACAGATGGACGCAATCTTATACAAGATTGGGCACAGCAGAAAGCGGAACAGGGCCAGTCGCATGCGGTGATCCAAAACAACGGCCAGCTTAAGCAATTGGATGCGGCCAACGTGGACTATGTGCTTGGCATCTTTGCCAACGGACATCTCAAGTACGATCACGAACGGGATGGCAGCGATGCAGGCATGCCATCCTTGACGAATATGACACTCAAGGCGCTCGAGGTGCTGGGTAACAGTGATAAGGGATATCTGCTTATTGTGGAGGCCGGCATGATCGATCAGGCGCATCATCGTGGAAATGCGCGCAAGGCTCTCAGCGAGGTCCTGGCCCTAAACGAGGCCGTGCAAGCGGTGCAGGCGCATCTGAAAGCAAAGTGAGCGTGACTTTGGGATAAGCAGGTTAAACAATTACTAATTTAGAGACTGTCACAGGGATCAACTGGACGAGACGCTGCTAATCGTGACAGCCGATCATTCGCACAGCTTGACCATCAATGGGCACCCCGACCGAGGCGCTGATATCTTGGGACTAGCTGGCAATTCAAAGACAGAAGATACACCCTATACAACGCTCACATATGGTACCAGTTATCAAGGCTTTCAGGTGGATCCCGAGCGCATGATGCGAAAGGACCCATCGCTCAGCGATACGAGAGATTGGGAATACACGCAGCAGGCGGCCATCAATACGAATGAGAATCTACACGGCGGTTCCGATGTGACTATACATGCGCGTGGTAAGTGGACACTATCTGCGAATACTGAATGTATTAATATAAATATTCTTCCTTTCTTTTGCTTTTATTTGTAGGCGCCATGTCGTATCTGTTTCATGGCGTGCACGAACAAAGTTATGTGGCGCATGTTATTTCCTACGCGCTGCGTATTGGACGCTTCCGTGATAGCACAATCGCCGAGTCCTTGGCGGAGTTGATGCCTTTGTAGCTTAATTGATAGTATAATTTATTAACTGTTTTTCCTCCCCCTATATTACATATTGTGATAAGATGTTTCTGTTTTTTAGTATTAATCATACAACAAATTATATGAACGTTAAAAATACGAAGTAGTGCGTTATTTATTATAGAGATGCCACTCAGTTGTTATGGTGCTGCCAGACATCTCGAGTGAGATTGAAGTTAAAATGCTTTATTTATTCCACTAACCGGAGACACTAACCACTGGTTAGTGGTTAAATTCAAATATATTGCAAATTAAATACATATTTACAGGTTTATTCAGTCTAGCTTTCTTAAAAATATACAACAGAGTCTCTTTCACTTGCTTAAGAGAAATTTAAAAAAAATTAGAGATCATTTCATTTTTATTAAATAAAGCCATCATTTTCGACGATCGAAAAAGGATGCGAGCAAGGGACGTTCAATTTGCGCCTTCCTGGTCGACGTGGAACTATAATACTCGTCTTAAGTGCTCCATCAAATTAGATATGTTGCCATTTGTGCGGTATTCTTTGCCGCAATGTCGAGATCTGGCAAAGACTTTATTATTTAAGCGGTCAAAATGGGACCAAACTTCCGAAACGCATTTTTTCGTTTGCGATCGATGGGAGCAGCGGCGTTAGGTGGACTCTAAGTTGTTGAAGGCGAAGGGGAAACAACATCTTTTTCTAAGAAATTACAGAGCACATGAAAATCAGACAACAAATAATTTTGCATAAAACAACTTACTCGACGTAGCGACAAATTCGTCCATATTAAATGAGGAACTGCCAGTATAGAGGAAATAGATTGATTCTGTTCGAAACAATGTTGAATTGCAATAGTTATTTTGTAAATCTAAATACAAATAAAATAAGAATTAATGCTCCACTCAGATTAAATTGTCGATATATTGATCATCGAGAAATTTCCCTCGATGTATCGAAAAACTAAAGTTCCATCGATTATATCGATAGTTCCATCGATGATTCTCCAGCTCTAGTGTACAATCTGCAAAGAATTACGCGTCGACTTCAAGCAAACAAAGTTATTATTTTTTGTTATATTTTGTGTTCCCAGTGGTAGCAAATTATTCGTGATTTATTATTGTGAAACGGTGTTTTATATATTGTGTATTGTGCGACGATCGCACTAAAATTCAAAAGAAATTAAATTATTTATTGATTTATTGCCGGGTCAGTGAATTCAACGCAATCCAGATAACATGGCGTTAAAAGTTTTAGTTGGCCAAAGTAAGTGCAATGAACAAACATTCCAATGGAGTTGTTAAAATTGTGTGCTGTTGTGACTAACATACACACACACACACACACACACAAACAAACAAACAAACGAAAACTCACAACTGGGTCGACATGTTTGTGATAGCTATGACGCCCCCTTTGAATATAGAGTGATACAGCTAATTATTTACTTATTTCTGTAGCTGTATAATTAGCATCTGCTGATATGCAAAATATATGTATTTATAAAGGAAAAATTACCATTTATATATTCTTATCAAACGAGGCTGTAACCACAGCCCCAAACCAGCAGCCCCTATCGATTTTTCCAACACAATTTTTGGCACCCACTCAGGAAACAAACACCCAACCCCCCCACATAGGGCATAAAATCAATCAGGTGGCTAGATACATACGATGCAAACAATTTGTCCAGCAAGTTAAAAATAATTTGCAGCAAAGGTTTGCACAAATGTTCACACAACATGCTCAGGTCTGCTCACGCTCTGTGAGAGACTGTTATTTCTGTTTTCGTTTCGCTCAAGTCAGTCACTGATCGTTTGCTTGAGCCAAATGAAGCAAACAGTCTTTAGCGTATGTATGGGTAAATCACACGCGAATGTTGCGTTCTTTTATATATATATATCTATGCATGTATTTACATACACACGAAGGCTTATTCCATGCACTCTTTGTTGTTGTTGTTGTTGTTTGTGGTGCTTCACTTTCTTGTTATTATTATTTTTGTTGCTGCTGTTACTGGTTGAGTCATCAGGGTTATGAGTAATAGTTATGGGGTTCGGGAGTGTGCAAATGTAGCTAAACATGACATTGACATCTTAAACTTACAGCAGTGCTGCCTACTATTGGGTAGCAGCTAAAAAATAGCTACTTTTAGCGGGAATTCAGGTTATCTACAGCTATGTCAGTTATATCTGATAAGATTACATTGATAAGAAAATTAATGCAAATTAATTTGATTTATGGCAGCTGTTTAGCTTTGTTATCTGTACTAATACATGTATGTGTGCTTATATAAAAGTTAGCTACACTAATCATAGAAGTTGCAAGCCATTTTGAAAGCTTGCTAGCTTCAGAAAAAATGCTAAAAAAGGCTATTTCAGCTCTAGCCCTTATAGATGAAGGCCTAGCCTCATATCTAAAATAGCCAACACTATTATGCCCACATATTGAAAAGGAAATTAGTCTGAAAAGTTTCTGAGAAGATAAAAGATGAAGCATAGAAAACTGTCCTTGGATGCAGGCGAAGTAGCCATGTCCCATACTCTAACTTGCAACAGATTGGATAGATTTGGAAATATATGTTAAATATATATTTAATGCCTACTGTCTCTGTTCTCCTCCTTTGCAGAGATCATGAATGAGGTGGTGAAGTATAAGCCGCCACCACCAAAAAAGGCGGGCGCTCCTGGTGCTGCCAAGGCAGCCGGCGCCGGTGGCATTGAGTGGCGTGTCCTGGTGGTCGATAAGCTGGGCATGCGCATGGTCTCCGCCTGCACCAAGATGCACGAGATTAGCGCCGAGGGCATAACATGTGAGTGCAACAGGCAAAGCCCAGCCCAAGTTAATTATTGTATTTAATCATTTCTTCAACTACCCTCGACAGTGGTTGAGGACATCAACAAGAAGCGAGAGCCGCTGCCGACAATGGATGCCATCTACTTGATAACGCCATCGGACGAATCTGTGCGATCGCTCATACGCGACTTTGAGAATCCGGCGCGTCCGATGTATCGCTATGCGCATGTTTTCTTTACCGAGGGTATGTGTCAGTCGTTCAGCCAGACCATACACTAAAGATAACCGATATATAACAATTGATTGTCTGGTGAACTAGTATATTATATATACATACATATATTATATCTATAATTTTATTCGTCTCTTTTGATTTTCATTTAATTTATTGATTTCTGTTTTGAAATTTTTCCATGAAATCCCCGTTAATATTATC